TTTAGGGTTTAGGGTTTTGAGCTGCAGTTTAGCCTTTCTCGGGTTTCAGTGTTTGGGGAACTGCTTCATTTCCCTGATGGTGCGGGAGAGGTACTGTAAGGGCCGAAAGAATTACCAAGACTAGTCCCTGGCAGCTCCTACATATCTCTTCATAAAAAGTCTTGCGGACCGCTTGAACTACTCGGGGTTGAGGACCTTTCGGTGCTTTTAAGGGTTTGGGATGTATGCAATGCGGGCCTCTACATAGCACTACAGGGCTTCAGGGCTCTCGAGTTTGGGTTGGCGGGTTTGGAGTTGAGCGTCTCAGCTCCTACAGTGGCAAGAACAGATTCAGGGCAGGGCGTTTCTAGTTTACGGAGGGGTGATGTGCAACTTAAACTAAACACCCTAAACCCTAAACCCCAAACCCTAGAGATCCAATTAAACAGAACCGTATACTCGACATCCTCAGCCCCAAGATCTCAATTCCCAAACGTTACTAAACCCCAAACCCCTAAAGCCCTGAACCCTAGAGCTTTCTCTCGAGTTACGAGCACTCAAGACATCTAAGGTAGAACCCATGAGCCCCTAGTATAGGCCCTTAACCCTGGGACCCTAATATACCTACGAAATACCCTATACATACCCTTAAGGGACCCTAGAATCCCTCAAGGGCCCATGTTAGGGGCCCATGGGTTCAACCTTAGAAGACAGCTAAAGACTGAAACCTTAAGTTAAAAACCCCGGAACCCCAAACCTGAAAACCCTGAACCCGGGTTTAGGATTTAGGGTTTAGGGTTTAGGGGTTTAGGGTTTAGGGTTTAGGGCCCCAAGCCCTGAATGTTACACCCTAAACCTTGAACCCTAAAGCCCCAGACCCTAAAACCCAGAAGCCTGAAACCTTCAACCGTGAACCCCAAAGCCCCCAACCCTAAACCCTGAACCCCTGAACCCTGAACCCTGAAACTCTGAAGCCTAAACCTTTATAACACCTTTGTAGACCCCTTTAAAGGAACCCTAGACCTTAAACCCCAAACCAAAAAAGCCCATCTCAAACCGTAAACCCCTATAGATCCCCTATAGAACCCTGATGGGTCCCTCTAAGGAACCCTCAAAGACCCTAAACCCTTAACCCTTAAACCCTGAACCCTAAACCCTACTTTCAAGGGAACCCTGAACCCGAGACCTATGGGGCCCTTTAAGGAACCTTCAAAGAACCTTTTAAGGAAACCCTGAACCCTTAAGCCCTAAACCCCACTTTCAAGGAAACACGTATAGATCCCTTATGGAACCCTTATGAGTCCTTTTAAGGAG